GCCATGGGTATAATTTATCCATCTTTGAACAAACAGTTCAAAGAGATTAATTCATGGAGGAAATGCCGGTCACATTTCTGCTTACAGCTACCTATAACTCATGAACTTGGTATCGCAGAATTTCCTACTTGCGTTACTTGAGGTTAAAAAAGTCGCTGAACAATTCGATACAATACGAAATTCCGTGCGGGAATCAAGGCTTGCTCACGCTTTACAGCGATTCGTGGGCACAAATTTCGTACCAAACGTAGGATTACTTGAAATCTAAGCGCTTAACTCCCTGATAATATACCTGATCAGATACATCACTGTACGCACGCTGAACTAGTTTGATTATTTCATACTTGAAGGCTTTCTGCTACATTCTTCGTGGTAGCGAATTATCAACTCGCTTAACAAATAATCAAACATATGAGACTACAAAGAAATCATTGTTGAGCACAGAAACGCTTCATGATAAAGGAAATTATTTACAACAAAACGCCGAGGCTAAGGTTCGAACACAGGTAGTAGGTGGTTGACCAAATGTCCCAACTTTCATAACAGCAGCTATGAACCATATCCTCTGGTGTTTACGACCTGTCCCCAGGTCACTCGCTGTCTACGAAAGCGAAATATGTATTTGTTTGGTGAGACGAGGGAAAAACTTAAACAACCGATCAAAAGTGATTTATGAATTACTTGAAACTGGTTTGGGAAAGGTTTAACCTGCCATTTGCTATATCAAGTCGTATGTGATTGAGAGGTAAGCAACATTCCCCAAAATAAAGCATTTGAAGTGACTTCGAATTTAAGCTTCTGGAGTCACTTCACTTCTTATGGAGACAGAAAATTATAATACTTCAAAACCATTGCTGCGATTTTTAATGTTATCAATTGCTTTCTTGGGAAACGTTTGAGAAATACAGAAAAATCGAGATTGTCGTTAGAAAATAAGAAAAAAGTTGTAAATATTCAATGAGGCGTTCATGGTTATTTTCTGTTTACCGGAGAGCAGAACCTGCAGGAAATTTATTAGAGTTTTGTTAACGAGCACAATGTTAAACCAATTGTTAGGGAATTATAATAGAAGATATATTTTCAAGATTTCTGCGCGCATACAGGCACCATGAAAATGTTTTCCGTTTTTACATATGAAGACTGATTCATTTATGCGAAGCAGTCAACAATTTCATAAATACAATTGCAGTTTCTTCAATCGATCGCAAATCGCCTTTGTGGATCAGTTCGTTACTTGATTTTATCCTCTGGTCAACATATAATTTTACATGTGATCAGATTCCTCATAGAACATCAGACAAACTACAAAAATTTCCTTCGCTCACAACATTTGGTTTCGTAGCTCGTTCGACAATAGCACCTGGGACATGTGAAAGCGATGTCGACACGTTTTGAAGACAAAACATTTTCGGTTTTCTTTCTCCAAAATTTCTTCGATTTTAGTTCATCTGTGAGGATCATTTTGTTATTTCTTGTCAAAAACTAGTGAAAATAAGATTCATCTCATTTATTTGAGAGAGCAGACAGTCAAAATGTGCCGTCACATTGGCGCAAAGGAAACGTCTCGTCGTGAACAACTTTTACTGTATGTAAAATCCCAGAAACTAAGGCAGTTATTAGCCATTACCTACAATAATCGGAAAAGCACGGATGAGTATGATCGTTTTACTAAAAAAAAGAAGGGGAAATACAATTTTTTCCTTTTTCCTTCTGTATTTTGCATTGCGCAGGCAGATGACGTAAAGAGGAAGTGTTTTCTCTGGCTAAACCCATGACTTTGCAATCGTGTACATATTAAAGAATTAAATTGCAAACGCATGCAGATATATACTCTCTTCCTGCATAACTTTTGCATCTGTAGAATTCCTAACTATTTTGTTCTAGCTTGACAAGTTTAATTCGGCGGACGCCTTACATTTAACTAATTTATGCCTACAACGGCTATCCAATTTCGATTCTGTTATTTCATTTTCTAGTCGATATCATACAGTTTTGTAAAATAATTCAAATAGTTCGCGCGCTCTGATTGGCCGTAAAACCATTTTACATGAGCGTATGTAAACACGGTGTTCGTTCCTTTTTCATTAGTTATTTTATAAAAGAAATGTAATATGGTTTTCGTGTTTACATAGCCTGATGTAAACACTTGGGAGGTTGGGAGAACAGTCGATAAGCTGGAAACCACTCCGCTTCGCGTCGTGGTTTCCTACGCTTATCTCGTGTTCTCCCAACCTCCCGCGTGTTTACATCAGGCTATGTAAACACGGAAACCATTTTACATTTCTTCAATGATTAAAAAATATCTTGCTTTGAGGGAAAATGACGAAAGATGTTAAAAGATAAAATTAAAACGTCTTATCTAGAAGCATCATAAGAGCTTCCTTATCTTGATGTTGGGAATATGAACGGAATAGCATATTGGCAAGAGCCATTCAGTGAAATAGTTATTGTAGGAAGTTGACAACTTTCCTTTTTGAGGAAAAAATAGTCCATTTAACTCCACAAATTTTTGTATTTGGCTTGCAGTGATTATAGCATATTTTTCTATCGCGAATTTGGCATGGGGGCAGATATTTAGTTTCTACGGTGAATGGAACTTGCGTGAAATATTTCAATTCTCTTGCGGTAGGTGTGTTTCAATTATGATAATTCGCTTGGTGGATGGGAAAATAACCTGATCTGGTGGGGTTTGGTCTCGTGCGGGAGTTTTCTGGAAATGCCTCCATGTGTTCGTGTCGAACTCCCAATCGTGACGATGGTTCTTAGTTTTTGGTATAATACGTTCAGCGCCTCTTTCTATGAGGTGGCTAAAGGTGTGGGCAACTTGTGCTTCCATCTTCCCCGCTGAATTTACAACTAGTTGACTTATATGAACAGCAGGTAGTTCTTTTGGGAGCGGTACCTTGGGTGCGCCCTTTCTTTCTCGAATTCTCCGTTTTTTTCTGTTGTTATGTAACAAACTTCAAGGGCTATTTTCTCTTTGGTTGTCTTTTTGGATGTGGTTCGAATTTACGCAAGGGGTCCTTTATAACTTTTATATTACGGGGGGTGCATGGGCTGTTTTGCGTGGCTCAACATGGTTGGCTAGCCAAGTGAAAAATAGTGGCTTTGGTCATATGTTGGCGGCGCGATTGCTGTCACCTTTGTAAGCTAGAGACAAACACTTTCCTACAGAGAGTAGAGTTAGCCTCCGAGCTAGCACGTTGTAATGAATTTTTAAGAAAGGAAATGAAGGAAGTGACAACTGTTCAAGGAGTGTTAGAAGTTCATATAAAAAGCTAACACTTCGAAATCTCAATAATGTTTTTTAGCAAGCAAGCGCGCCAACAGCCTATTCCCGGGATCCTAGGCGGGATCCCGGGGTGGTAAGATTGTATGTTAAGGCAGGCATCATTCGATCAGGGCTTGGCAGGTGACATCACCTATCTGGGGCTCCCCACTTTCATGTGAACAGGCCTAAAGCTCTGAAATTTGCATATATAAATTTCATCTCGGTCTAGTTAAATGAATTGTTTATCACCTATGAAATGTTTATCTCTACCTTTTACGGAGGTGTTGTCTTCTTATAAAAGTGATGTTCAGGATTTCCCTGTATTCATTTACCCATTTCTGATACAGGGTGAAAAAGGCGAACATTTGCTGCTATTAAATGTTAATGATCTGTAGAAGCAAAACGGCAATAGCGAAGCATATTACATGTTTATTGTATTTTTGGCAGTTCTCAAATTTTTGCTATTTTCATTTTCAGTTTCAAATTCTCTGAGAATTTTGCACGGGCTAATGTTTGTTTTTGACAGTAGTGCGACCTGGCCCTTAGTCATGCACGGTGTGCGCCCTTTGATTGCGTTGCATCATGGTCGTAAAAGAAAAAATGTAGGTTTTTTGCATCATATCGCAGTGGATTGGTCATCTTTTCTAGCAGCAAGAATAGGACTAATACCTGTAATTTTATGGGGACTCTCTGTCTGTTGCCGTTCCTTCGAAAGTTAAAAAGTGTTTTCTCGCCTGCGAGCCTCCTTCCATTCCTCTGTGACGAATTCGTTCTTGGGAGGCATCTATAGAGCATAGACTAAGACACTGTTTGAAGACTGCAGTCGGTGAGATTTGTTCTAGCTTGCATAATGGTTCCACGGAGGTTAGCGCGTTGTACAGGCCAGCACTATAATGGGACAATTATTTTTTCCTTGTTAAAACATAGTGATACGATTTCAGTGTGATTTCAGACATTTTTGCGGACTTCGAACTTTTTAAATTTTGAAACGCGTTTCCACAACCTCGGTGAATTTACTCTCAGTTTTTCGGTTACAAAACTCGTGCAATTTTGGCTTGCAGAACAGGTCAGGCCTATCATTTGGCGGCAGGGCTAAACATTGGCGGTCATTCCCATGAGTAACCAAGAGAGAATTTCTCCTAACAATATCAATGCAATATCAACTATATAAGTGATGAGAATAGAGAAAAATATCATGTTGGGAATAATTAGTTGATCCAATACTAAATTCTCTGAACTTACATTATAAGAATTGTATGGTTGACAGGAAGAAGAATCAGAACTTTGATCTGGGAGTTTGAAGGGTTAATCACGTGCAATATAAACTCGCGGTCACATGCAAGTTTAGACTTACGTTGGTTGCGTGGATTATCATGAGACGAGATATCATGAGACGAGACATCATGAGATGATGGTCATCATGAGTCATACGACCAAACATAGCCACTTATCGTCAAGTAACCGTGTGCTGTACTTTCCCACGTGCAGCGATCCTTTCGCAAATCAGCAATACCTGAACCCCCCCCCCCCCAAAAACATACTCATGAGGAGGTTATATGGGTATTCATAGTTTTCCATCTTTTGAATGCCTACTCTAAGAGCCGAGTGAAGCTCGTCGCGATGAATTTTATCGCCATTTTTCGATACTGCCTCAATCATGCTACGGATTAAATTTCACAGGTACGTCGCTCGCTTATATACATAGACACGCGTAGACAAGGAATTTGCGCGCTTGCTTGCTAAAAAACATTATTGAGATTTCGAAGTGTTAGCTTGTTAGATGAACTTCTAACACTCCTTGAACAGTTGTCACTTCCTTCATTTCCTTTCTTAAAAATTCCTGTCCGCCCTGTCTGTTCTTCTTTACTTCTGCTTCTGTGCTATAATTTATATAGGTTTGCCTTTCCCACGTGACCAAAGCAGGGCACGGTTTGTATCAAACATATCAAAATATAAATGAATAGTTCTCTGAAAATCGACATCCTTATACTACAACCAGAGAAGCAAAATTAAATAATTTATTGTCACGTTCTTCCACAAACTACCAGTCGAGCTTAACTCTGTAAAGGGCAATGAAAAAGGCTCTAGGTAGGCCTAGCCAGTGTGATGTTTCTTTCAAGCTAGAGTTTATATCATGTCCCCCTATCTGCGTCTATAGTGTCCCCGAGGAATTCTCGAGTCTTCTAAGTGCCCAACAGCCTTCAAGTGTAATCTTGTGATTTGTGAGTTCAATCTCATTTTGGTTCAGATCACGGCAGACTCAGCCAACCCACCTCCACCTTCAGCTCCCTATCCTGTGTCTCGATGTCCTCTTCTTTTCTGCACACGCTGTCCAAACCTTTTGATGATGATGATATTACTCAAATTGTTCTCTTCGCGTTGCAGAAACTGGTCCTCGTCGGAAATGGGGCTAGGCCCCGTTAGAGGCTAACTTCATAACTTTCAAAGCGTAAAGTTGAAAGATAGAGCTAAAGGTCGCTCTTAATCATATGACAGCATTCTGACTCAGACAGAAAGAGAGGGTATATTACTTGTGTGTCTCGAGTGTGAATCTCTCTAGCTGTTTGCAGATATCTTTTGTGTATCTCCGATCAATGCTCTAGATCTGGCGCATATGGAATCCTAAAATTATCATTACCGGTAGCATGAAATTAAAGTTAAAATAACCTGGAGTTACGTGTGGTATTAATTAAGCTGTCGGAAGATTGCTAACAGTTTTTTCATAATGCTTTCTCTTACCCCGACATGCCCAGTTGATGCTTCACTCTAGGCTGGCAAAATCGAAGTCGCAAAGCAAACGAGGTTCACGTATCCATGTAACCTAGAGGCAAAAAAGCACGTCGTTCCTAAAAATTTAAATACTATCACCGTATGCGTCAATTGATTTTGCCATCTTACTCTGACAGTGATGTATTCTTAACTGCTTTACAATTATGAGTGTGCATTCGATCGTCTCAGTGCGGACGTGAGCGAGGGCGTAAATTCGAGCTATTACGCAAATGTGCTTCATATGCGCATTATACTGGTAGCAAATTCGAGCTACTACACAAACGTGCTTCATATTCCAACTGCGCATAACGATGGCAACAGTGTTTGCATTGAAACAGAGCAGCTGAAAATTTTTCAATTCGAGATTTCAGCGCTGATTTGGGTACTACTAGATAGATTTACTTCAACCGAGCTTTCAAGCGTTAAGAAAAATTCCACTTATTCATGATAATCTTGCTAGTTCAAGCAGAAAAGCAAATACTGTACCTTCACTTTGACGCAAAACTTTTTTTTTCCCCCGTATATTTTAATTATTTTTTATATAAAACAAATAGATTCCGAGTTGCCGTGCGTCTGTTCAGTAATAGATCACAGATAACGTCAAAATGTGGTAAGAACATCAGTGACGCACTCGGCTGCGCCTCGTGTGCCACTTCTTTGTTCTTACCACATTTTGACGTTATCTGTGATCCATTACTGAACAGACGCACGGCTTAGAATCTATTTGTTAATTAGTCTTTTGTGCACGGTTTAACCGGAGCTTGGCGTGCTGTTGACCAATCAAAGAGCGGCGGATGTCGTTAGAAAATCGTATTGCGCCTTCAGAAAAGGCGCTTTGTAATCGTTCAACAAGATGGAAATGCAGTCGCCTCAGAGGTACTCTACATGTGATTGTAGATTTTACTTTAATTGTTAGTATCGTTTTGACGTTTCTAGTTATGGGAATTTTGCTTCATATGAGAGGGTTTCAGTAATGTGCTTTAACTCCTTCGCATTCGAAAAGCACTTTCCCGTAACCTTAAAGAGGTTTTATCTGTATTTTGCGTGTCGCAGATGTTTCTTGTGTTTCTTGCAAGCTAGCTAGTTAGGTATGCACTAAGAAAATTTGTTGGTTTGTATTTTTTTCTCCATCGTTTTGCTTACGTTTACAGTGTCGTAAACGGTAAATGATGAAAACAAAGATACAAGAAAAAGGTGTTATGAAAGGGAAGGTACCTAAACGTTTCGTTGTCTCCAAAAATAGTTATTTGAACTGCTTTTAGTGGAGGTCGTGGTCTTCGTCTTTCCACAGCTAGAAACTACTATCTCTTTGCAATTCGATAACTTTATTAAAATATTAACAAGCAAAGGTTTGATTCTTCAATTTAACTGTAATGTTGTAATTATTACGGTTAAAACACCGTTTCAAGGGTTGTATTGGCGTCGTAAATGGCAGAAAAATGTAGAAACTCACCGCTAAAATGGAACTCCTGTCTTCAGCCGTTTGTGCTTTATAGTGAATTCGAAGGTGTTTTCTTTTGTTGTGGATCTTTTAACTTTCTGCTCGATGTAGCTAAATAAGTAGGAGCCATGATTAAATAGGACGTGAATTTTGCCCAACTTTCCTACTAGAAAGTGATCTTTCTTCTCGAAACCATATTGCTCTTAATTCAAGATCATGTTCAAATCGTTAATGGCGTAATTGCATGTGCCCGCTTTGGTTTCATCATTTCAGCAAATATGTTTCAACCAGAGGGTAGAAATATTTAGAAAACGAAACTGAGTCTTCTAAAAACAAAATGCTCACTTCAAATCGCAGATTCATGATGCATCCGTCCAGCACTCAATGCATGCAGTCTTTTTGGTGATAAGTCATAGAGCAGGGACCTTTGATGTTGTTCAATGTATATGATTGCACTATCCTGGTATCTTTTGATTTTTTGTATATGATAACGACAACAGGCATGTGATTGGTCTGCTGTAAGTCGCAAGAGAGTGCTGATCTAGCTAGATAAGTTGGAGTCATGGTAAAATAAATGTTAAATTTTGTCCTAAACAAGCTACACTTGAAAGCAGGGTTGTTGTAAATCTATCTATTAAAAACAATTGCGTTCCTACCTCAAGATCGTGTTCAAATTGCCATTAGCAGAGCTCCATGCACTTGCTTTGGTTTTTCATTTTACCATTTCAGCTTACTTGTTTCAACCAGCAGATAGATAATAACAAGAAAAAAAAACTTAGTCTCTTAAAAACCAGAACTTCACTTTAGATTTGCAGATTTACGTTGCATGTTGACAATTCACCGAGCAAAGTTTCACACACATTGCACTTTAGTCCAAGGGACTTTCATCAATCATGGAAAACATATTTGTTGACTTCTTGTAGAAAAAAATATCCTGTGGGTTCCTTGTCCTTACTAGAAGAGCTTTGCCTTCTCTTTTACAGCATTAACTCAAGTGTAAGCTAGTGGGCTCAACCAATTAATGTTCTTTTATGACTGTGACATCCTAGTGTCTTCTGATTTATTTTGTATAAATAACCAACAGGCATGTGATTGGTCTGGTTAAAGTCACGAGAGTGAAAGATCCAATAACAGAATGATTTGTGATCACGTGTCTTTGCAAACTGTCAATGTCTTGCCTGCTGCTCTATATGTAGGCAGTTTAGCATTGAGAACAGCTGTGGCCTAAAGAATAATGCTTTGATACCATTTTAAAACAATAAGTGACCATAAAATATGTATTCTATAATTTTTTGGCTACATGCTTTTTGATTGTTGAGGATTTTTATATTATTTGGCCCACATAGTTTAAATTTCGTTCACTGAAAGATTGAAAATATTTAATTAAACATAATATTACAAAAATGCTCAAACATAGGAATGTTGCTTTAACTGTATTTAACCATGTCTTTGTGCAGTTAATGATGGTGGGCTGTGATTATATTGTGTGATTTGCTCTGGGCATGATATGCTAATTTTTTGCTCTTTGTTGCTGCATTCAAGTACAAACAGGAGAACAACATTTTAGGACTAAAAATAAGTGATGCAGCAGTTATTGTTTATGGGTGATTTCTATGTTACTAAATTGTGTTGTTCCTCTTGTGGGCAAGGTGGCACAAGGCTGCATGGTGTAAATTCTGTGCATTTGTTATTGTTCAATATATCAAAGTTATTATGTGAGATGATGTTAAATCTGAAGTTTATTGTGACCAAAGTGATTCAAGGGAATTGTATGACACAGTTGCCAGCAGTGGGCTCATAAAGATGGGTAAAACTTGAACAAACTGTTATGGAAAGAGCTAAATATTACAAACTTTAAGGTTACGAAGGAGAATATTCGGAAAAATAAATAAGTATAAAGAACACGGCATTGCCTCTCAAAAGGTCAGCAAACGTTAGTAACGCATTATTTTTTTTAGCTATATTTACTCCAAACAAAATTCCTTTTATTCTGCCTTCTTTAGATATTAATGCATGTGTCTATGAAGATATAGTCAAACTAAATAAATATATTTCTAAACAGAGTGACAGAGGTTAATGATTACTGTGTGAAGAACCAACAAGGAGTTGTACCATTGATAACAACTTTGTCTGACTTCTGGCACAAGGGTTAAAAACCAAATTGATAAACTCTGTAAGATTGAGATCACAGCAATGCTGATATTTAGAAGTTATTCAATGACATAAAGCATAAAATCTGACAAACTCTGTAATATTGTGAACTCTACAAATGTCCCTTTTACAATGAGGGGAAACTTTTAATTCAAATTCCTGTATCAGTAAGGAGATATTGCCAGGAGTATGTTATATAAACACTGTAGAATTATTTTTTTTT